TAATAAGTAAATGTTACATATAAGAAATAAACAATGTTTATTGTTTAATTAACAATAATTAACATTAAAATTACAATCACAATTACACACAATTAAGATTATATAATTAATTTTAAATCTACTTTTAAATTTATAACTTAAACCGGACGTCTTACAAATCTGAAATCATTATTTCTATACTAGCTTATATGCTTTTACAATATATAACGCACACTATATAAATACGTATTCTATATTAAATCTAAGCTGCATACCTATCTAAATCTGGTCACACATATGAACACGCTGTATATTACTAATTCTCTTTCTTAAATCTCTTCATTACTTTTCATATTTGGTATTTTTAATTATTTGCTTGTACGCACACGCACACGCACACACACATGCACGCACGCACGCACGCACACCCACACGCACGCACACGCATACGCACACAGTATATTGGTTAGTCCACCTAATTTTCTTACTTAATCTCTTCATTATTTTTTTTATTCGATATTGTTTGATGATCAACTTATTATATTATGAGGTCTAGCAGCGCGCCAAGTATGTTTACATAAAAAATTTTATTTTAATAAAATTTTCTCATTTTGAGATGCTTCGTCTTTAATTTTTTTTAGATTAAATGTTGTATTCCATTGCAAATATAAAAAACTCTTGAATAGAAAGATAAAGGTACGTATTATTTTATCTCGTTAATTAAATGTTATATGTTGCAATAAAATATATGTTCTTTTCGCAATTTACAAAATACAGTAGTATATATTATATTAGGTGTTAAACTTAATTCCTGCCGTTTTTCGTCTCCGAAATTGATTTGTTTCGAAGGGAAATACCATAATCAAAGTATTATTAATAAAGTATTATTAATTAGTAATAAAGTAGAAAATAGAGGAAATTACTTTGATTGAGGTATTCATTCATCTTCTCTTCGAAACAAAGCAATTTTGGAGACGAAAAACGGCAGGAATTAAGTTTAACACCTAATATGTTGCAAGAAATTATATATTCGTTTTGCAATTGGCGTAATTTAAAGATTTGATTTCGTTTTTTTTTAATACATGCATACGTACTACTGAGGGGTAATTTATAATAAAAAATTAACAACATTATCACTTGAACTATATTATTTATGTAACGGTTTTTTTTTTAGTTTATGTAAAGTACAGTTTTTTATGGAAGGTACATGCACACTTGGCGCCTTTTTTTTACCTTTTTTTAAAAAGGTAATTTTGTTAAGATATAATTAACATGGAAGCGATATTATATTAGAGAAGATGAATTATATAGTTCAAAATTTCTTTTTAAATAATTTTTGATTAATCTCTTATTAATATACAAAAGTACATGTTAAAAATTAAAGTTTTTGTAATTGAAATAGATAGAAATAGATTCGTGTGCCCATTGCTAAATACAAAATTCTGATTTTTCGGATACTGTGTACGTACGACTTTGCTTTATTATTTCTATTTCCACTCTGCTACAATGTATGTATATACACAAGCCACTGGTATTGACCTTCATATTGATATTCGTTCGACAACATATAACAGGCAGAATGAAGAAGTGTCGGCTAGAGTGCTGATTAAACCTGTGCCCAGTCCACTGCCAAGAAAGTTGAATCATACAGAAATCTTATTTTGAGTTCTCCGAACGGATTGTGCCTATAATTTCCGGTGTCTTGCATGTTGATATAATGTCCAACACAGTTCTGGATACGCCTGAAAAATCGGAATATCATGAGGCCGAATATAGGTGAGACTGGGGTGGAGCAAAAGAGGCGATTTTAATTGAAATATGCGTGTGACATATTATTAACTGCGATGATAATATTTTAAGAGAAATGTTACAAAGTACTTTCTACAAAGAAGAATTAAGATTTTTTTCTGGTGTTTCATTTTTTATTGTTAATCGTATTGTTTTTCAAATTTAGAGTTGTTAGATTAACAAACGGTTTAACAGCTTTGTTAATATCTGATCTGGAAGGAGCGAATAATGACGATATGAATTATAAAGATTATGAAGCAGGTTGTTCTTCAGCTAAACGAGTTAAAAGAGACGTATGGAAGGTATAAATAACACAATTTAGTTAGCGCTTTTCGATACTTCTAGCGTGTTATTTTTTACATAATATGTTATTAAAAATACATTGAGATAATAATATCAAAGATGGACTTATAAAATCATAAAAAATAATCTATCTCTTTAAAACTGCGTTCAGAAGCGTATCATAAGCGCAATTGCGTCCATCCATTTTTATCGCTCATCGGACGTGAAAGAATAAAGTATCGCAATGACGATTACAGCGTATTCATCCAGTAAAGTTTGATATCGGATGCGTTTCGTGTTATGCATAAAGCGCTTGATCATTTTGTCTTTCTTTATTATTTTGTGAATAACAAGGATAAATGATGCATCGTGCGTTTCATGCGTAATTCAAAACGCATTCATTATCAGGGGTCCTTGTTTGAAAAACGTGAACTCCTCTATTAATCCTCTGTAAATGTTTATGGATTCGTTTCGAAATGTGTAAACTGTTTAGCAGCCATCTCACTACTGTTTGTGCTTAATGTACCAATTTAACATTCTATATGCAACGCAAGATAAGAAATATAGGTATATATATTTTTTAAACTTAGGCATCTTGTGGCTTATGTGTGGGAGTAGGCAGTTTTAGCGATCCACCGGAAGTTCCAGGTCTGGCACATTTCCTTCAGCGCATAATTTTCATGGGATCCGGAAATCATTCAAATGTATTAAAATATGAAAAAAATTGAAAGAAAAAGGGAAATCAATGTTAAATACACAAAAATAGAACGGTAAAAATATTACAAAGTTAAAATTTATAAAAATTTATAAAATTTATATAACATTGATAATGATCCAACAGGGATCGAAACGTTTGTTTATGTTATATTGTTTATTGCCGGCGCGGCACATTAAAGTTTTATATTCTGACTAAATGACATATTTATACTGTGTTTTTTTTTAATTTCTATTTCTAACGACTAACTCTTAGGTTCGTAGCCCTTTTTCTTTCAATTTTTTTAATTTATTGAGTCTTATTACTATTATATTTTTATTAAAATATGATAAGTGAATTTATCATAAAATACATTTTTTGCACATTTTCATGTTTAAATATCATTGTATTTGCAGGAAAACGGTTTTAATGAATTTATCAGTCTCCATGGTGGCACTACTGATGGCAAAACAGATTGCGAGTGTACAGTGTATTATTTTGATGTATAGGGATATTTATCTGCAGCTCTTGATCGTTTTGTTCAATTATTCATTGAACCCTTGATAAAGAAAGATGACATCACGAGGGAACGAGAGGCTGTACAAAGAGGTATGTAAATCATAATGTAAATCGTAATGTTGTTACTAAAACTTGCGGTTTTTTTAATGTTCCATGTTCGCATAGAGTTTCAATGGAGTACATTTAAGGACAAAAATACAAAGGGAAATTTTTTATCTTTTATCGCACGACCTGATCATCCAGCCAGTAAGTTTCTTCGGGGTAGTTCAATATCTTTAAACAATGATATAGATGATGACAAGTTGTACGAAAAGTTGCACGAATTTAGAAAGCGCCATTATAGCGCGCACAGAATGATGCTAGCTATACAGGTAACTATAATACGTTAAATTTGCGATGAACAACTGATGTCTTATTAAACATAGTTAATTTATAATATAGTACGTACATTCGTTTATAGGCAAGGTCATCACTTTCTACGCTGGAACAATGTGTCACAAAATTTTGTAATACTATACCAAATTACGATCTGCCCCCCGACGATTTTAATAAATTTGAAGATAGCCTTCCATTTGATACTGACGCTTTTAAAAAAATGTATCACATTAAAGTTTGCAAAGATGTCAACCAAGTATGTAACTTGGACAAACAAATTAAAAAAAAATTGTATGCCCTGAACAAATGCATATAAAAATGAAACTTGTCTTTTACAGATACATGTAACATGGGCTTTGCCTTCACTACTTAATTTGTACAGAAGTAAACCATGTAAATATATTTCATGGATTATCGAACATAAAGGAAAAGATTCTTTAACTAGTTATCTACGTAAAAAAATGTGGGGCCTTGATGTGTTTTCTGGTACTTATAATAACGATAATGGTTTCGGATACAACTCTATGTATATTTTATTCGAGATTATAGTAGAACTCACCGATGAGGGAGTGAAACATCAGCGAGACGTTCTAGATGCAGTATTCTCCTTCATCAATTTAGTAAAAAGGACGGGTCCACAAGAAAGTATTTATAATGAACTTATTAAGATTGGAAAAAATAATTTTAGGTAAATCAATTTAAGAATAAATAGATTTGTAGAAAAGAACAATACCATTAAAATACGTAAAATATGCCACTTATGATTGAATTCTTTTTTAGATTTTTTAGTCAACACGATGGTGTGTTCGATATATGTAAGAGTATGCATTTCTATCCGTCGCGTGATTATGTGACCGGAAAATATATTTATTTCGAGTATAACCCAGAAGCTATACAAAAATGTTTGGATTTCTTGGTACCAGAATCGATTAATATAATGATTTTCAATAATGATGTTCGATTGGGTATAGTCGAGAAATTTTCGAAAATACGCTACACGAGTACTGAAATATCGAAAGAATCGATCAAACGCTGGAAATTTATCGAGCCATTGCCTAATTTTCATTTACCATCAAGCAATGAATTTCTTGCCAATAATTTTTCTATCATACCGGTATCAGCAGAAGCTTCGAAATACCCTGTAAAAATACACCAAGATCGTATGTCGGAGATTTGGTTTTGCCCGAAGTTTCATTGGCCGATGTGTCATATAAATCTACATATTGTTTCTCCTATGTCTCGTCGAGTAGCAAAAAAGTAAATAATAGCTTGGACATGTAAAAATATTTATACATTTATAGTAGTACTACAACGTCTACCGCGCGATCTTATATATACACCTATTATAAACTCTAACTTGTAATTATTATGTGTTGTAATTTTTATAAATTAATTTGTTATTAAACTTAATTTATATTAATAACATTTCAGTGCAGTTCGCCTGCAAATGTACTGCAATGTAATAAAATATCTAATACTCGAAGACTTACACCCGGCTGTAACGGGTGGGTTTAGTTATGAGATCGATGTGAATGAACAAGCTACAGGTATTATAATACAAATAAGAGCATTTAACGAAAATCTTCCAGTAAGTATACACAAGTTTAAAGCGTGTGTTGGCGAAGTTACCTTAATGAAAATTTTTCTCAGAATTTTTCATATAATTTTTCAAAATTTCTATATAATCTTTCAGAATTTTAAAATAATTTTATACCTTTCTGACATTTTTTATACGAATTGGAACACTTCTCAGGAAATCTACGTATACCTTTTCTCAGAATTTTCCATATATGTTTATTATGAAATATTGTAAGATTTTTAAGATTTTTGTAAGTTTAATTTCTGATTAAGTGTTATAAAATCTAAAAAATTTTAAAACATTTTTTTAAATTATATGATGTGAAATTTCAGAATATTTCAGAATTTACATGTATGAAAAATTCTGAAAGAAAATGTGAACTATCCGACCATTTCTGAGTATTTTTGAAAGATGTTACAAATCATATAAAAATTCTAAGAAAAATTTTCAACATGATATGTAATTTATATGTATATATATATATAATTTGAAGAAACATAAATATTTTATTTACATTGCAGACCTGGTTGATGGTTATTGCAAACTATATGAATTCAGTCCCTTTTTCGAAGGACTTGTTTAAAATTATAAAAACGCAACAAGTCAAGGCATATTACAACAAATTTATAGATCCGGAGAAGTTTATCAAGTACGTACTATTTATTACCAAGCATAATTACAGTAATTATAAAATTCTTATACAAGTAGAAAAAAAGAATTAATGATGAACATTAATTACAACAATTAATTTTATAAAATAAATTATATTTATTACATTTCTTATTATTTTGATTAATAACATATATATAGCTTTTTTTATATTTTTGGTAGGGATGTAGAATTATGGATATTGAAGTATGGCAACTATACACACGTTCACAAATACAGTGCTCTACGTAAATTTAATTTTGAAAAGATCCAAGATTTTTTACGGTCCTTCACCAATAATCTGTACTTCCAATGCCTCGTAGAAGGCAACGTAACGAAAGATTTTACGATGAATATGATACAACAATTTATCAACAAAATCAGCCGTGATTCCTTGAATGTTAAGATGTTGGCTGCTTCATTCTATAAGATACCCCGAGGCACATCTTATTTCAAATAGAAAAATATTAACCCAACGGATGTAAACTCGGTAGTGACAAATTATTATCAAATCGGTTCTGCTACGATTGAATTGTCGGTGTTAATCCAGCTGATGGTCGTAAGTATTTAATAACATTGTTTTATACATTTAAATATATGGAATCTTCAATTTATATTTATCTTTAATACTAAATAAAATGCGAATAACATTTTCGATTACCATGATTGATTCTATTTAATATCACGTTCATCTGTTATACTTTTAGATGATAATGAAAGAATCGTTAATGAATCATCTACGAACCCAAGAAATGCTTAGTTATATTTCGTGCGATTTTAGAGATGTGAACGGAATGTTAGGATATTCTATTACTCTTTACACTCAGGCAGATAAATACACAACCGAATGCGTTGATCAATGGATCGAGGGATTTCTGAATTCGTTTAGAATTATGTTGGAACAGTTCTCAGAAGAGAAATTAGACGATGTCAAAGAAGGACTGAGAATTTTTAAGCAATACGACGATACCTATATTCTGAAAAACGAAGTTGACAGAGACTGGAATGAGATCACGAAGCAGAAATACATGTTTGACAGATGTGAAAAGGAAGCGCTTGCAATAGAGAATTTAAATATCAATAAGCTTAGAGAATTTTTCGGAAGGCATACACTGAACGGAAGTAGTTTCAGAAAATTGAGCGTACATGTGGTAGGAACACCGAAGGAAGTTGCTGTCAGTAAGTACATAATTTTTCTGATCAAACTTTGGTCATTGTCTAAATATTTCTTTTTGTATTATGAAATCATTTTTGCCTTTCATTTTTTTCTTATCACATTAAATTGAAATTGCTAAGACAATTAAAATTTTAAAAATTAATTCTTGTAGATGCAAAGAATCTTAAGCATCCTGTATACTCTTTTGATGATTTTATAATTGGATGTAATTCGCATCATGATAGTACGGATCATCATATTACTAACGTAAAGGATTACAGAAATTTGTGTCGGGAATTTGTCTAATAATAAGAGAGGAGGTTAATCCTGGAGATCATCATAAAGAGCTTAATAAGCGATATTTAAACAATAATGGTATGGTACGATGATGATAAAATTGTGAATATTGAATGTTTCAAACTTCTTATCATTTTAATCTATTATATCAATTATATTCGATTTTATAAACTTATTATATTATTTATTTTCCATATATCCATTTCGTCTCTGACTGTCGACACTACAAGATCTCGATGTTGGTTGTGAATATAAGACTTTACGATATTTGACATTTCGATGAGCAATGTGTTCTACCCTTTTGACATAATGTATTGGATTCCGTTCTCTTTTTATCTAACTTGGTAATTGGATAAAGAAGAATGAGCTGTGTCGCTTCTTGGAATTTGCGTATAGTATGTAAGCGGATTTAGGTTATATTATATTGATAAGGACCCAAAAATAGGGGTCGAAACGTATATTTAATTAATTTTTGATATGACTTGTTTAATTACACGAAAATAAATTGTGCATCCGATTAACTGATGTTTGGCTTTGATGGGCTTGCTTATTATTATTATTATTATTTATTTTATTACATTTTTTGCACTTATATTTTATTAGCAAATTACGTAGTATGTTTTCCAATTTTTTTTCTTTAATATGTGGATTTATTGTAACGCGATAATTCACGTTTCTGTTTAATTTATTTATTGTACAAAAGTGCGCCGTACACATACACAATATGCGATATAACATATATTATATTCTTTAGCTTATTTAAAATATTGCTGTTTGGTTACTATCATCGCCAATGTTTTGTTATCAAATATTTCGATGATATACGTTTATAATTTTCTTCTTGACATAGAAATTGCGACTCTATTCTGTTATATACAGCAATAACGTGCATTGACTCTCTTCTTTATTAAAGAATTGCAATTACGTGAACTGTAGATTAGAGAACTGTTGCTATATTAAAGTACAATGTAGATTTGCAGCGCTGGTATTTTTATTTTTGATAATCCTATATTAATAAATTTACTACTATTTATTTTTAAAAATTGATTTTTGAAATAAAAAATGTTTCTTATTAGAAATGTGTTAATTAAATGTCATATTAATTTATAACTATAACTAAAAAAAAAAATATAAAGGACTCTTAATGACAAAACAATATGATAAGGAAGGGCATGTAAGAGTCAATCTTAAAATCGTGCTATGTAACGAAATATTACATAAAATATGTTAAGTTCTAAAATTCAAATATAATAGTTTCCGCCCTTTTCGAAAAGAAAAAGATGTGTTTATTTAAACAAATTTATATAAGTGAGTTTATTCAAAGTATACTCCTTCGGAAGCGACAACTTTCTCCCACTTTTCCGGTAATAAACGGATTCCTCGAATGAAAAAATCTGGTTCTTTTGAAGCGATCCATTCATCAAGCCATTTTTTGATATCTTCATAAGAATTGAATCGTTCTCCAGAAAGGGCCGACTACATGGATCGGAACAAATGGAAATTTGAAGGAGCAATGTCCGGTGAATACGGCGGGTAGGGCAGAATTTCCCACTTTACTCTTTCCAAGTATTTCTTGACCGGTTTTGCAACGTGTGGCCTAGCGTCGTCATATAACAGAATCAGCTTGTTGTGCCTA